TGGATGATAAGACAAACCAGCGGTTCTGGCATAAGTACTTCTTCATCAAGACTGAGTAATTGGTGGCGGACCCGGCCAGGTTCCCCGAGCAATGGAACTATAATCGTAAATATTTTTGTCGTATGCTCATTGTTTTCTTTTATTCTTTCATTTTCGACTTACTCGTGGCTTCATTGCTTTCAGCTGAGAGACGTGCACCTTCTCCCGTCTTCGATATTGAAGATTACGTGGCTCGCTTGTTACCCCACAATGTGGGAATTTGTGACTGGGCGTCCTTTCACAAACATTTTGGGCCTAAGACCCTGTCCAGTAAGTGTTATTTCTAGCCTTTGACTTATTGCCGTTTACCATAGCTTTTTGATACGACCTCCCTTTGGTGCCAGGTCGACGAATTTCTAAAAAGGCTAAGGCTCCCATGCCCGCATTTTGCCAAGCTATCGCATTGGCCGGAATGCAATTTACCTTAGCTGAGTCCGTTCGAAGAGGTCGGACTCAAGTTCCGCCGACGAGGGACTCCGCCCCTCAAACGGTTGCAGTGCGGGATGAGATCTCTTCCCAGCCCATCTATCATCATGTAGACGAGCCATATAATGATGAGGAGACACCGTCGAGGAAAAGGCGAAGGGTGGAAACCGGGAAGGCCAATGTCGCTGACGTCGAGCCGGAAAAATTCGTCGGGCCAATGTCGTTGGGCCCAAGACCCCGTCCAGTAAGTGTTATTTCTAGCCTTTGACTTATTGCCATTTACCATAGCTTTTTGATACTACCTCCCTTCGGTGCCAGGTCGACGAATTTCTAAAAAGGCGAAGGCTCCCATGCCTGCATTTCGCCAAGCTATCGCATTGGCTGGAATGCAATTTGCCTAAGCTGAGTCCGCTCGAAGAGGTCGGACTCAAGTTCCGCCGACGAGGGACTCCGCCCCTCAAACGGTTGCCGTGCGGGATGAGATCTCTTCCCAGCCCATCTATCATCTTGTAGACGTGCCATCTAATGATGAGGAGACACCGTCGAGGAAAAGGCGAAGGGTGGAAACCGGGAAGGCCAATGTCGCTGACGTCGAGCCGGAAAAATTCATCGCTTTGGAAGCAGAATCTGCGCTTACACCAAATGTAGAGGCCGTTTCCACGGCATGTGCCGTTATGGAGAGGAGACCCTCTAGGGTTGAGGGGGTTCGTGATAGCAAAGTGCTTACACAGGCCGCAGAAGGTGGCTCATCATCGGCGGTCGTGGGAAGTAGAGCGATCCCTACGGTGGGATGACGACTCTAGCTCGGACATCGACCCTGATGAGGTATGTGCCTTCTTGGAGAGAAATACTCATGTGGATATAAGGACGGAGGGTCCTAATCGGCACATAGTCATTCCCGTGGACTACGACCTTTTGGCCAACTCAGAACGGGTGATGCCGGACTTTGCTCCCCTATGCGCGGCTTCTGAAAACACAGCGCTACAGGCGATGAACGATGTGGATCTATCGTTGGGTATATCCGGCATGGCTCTGCGAGTAAGTGCTTTTCTATGTTAGAATTTGTTTCGTATGCATAATTTGCTTACACTTACTCCTCTCTTTTTGCATGTCAGACTCTTATCATGGGGATCGAGCATGACCGGCGGGAGGAGCGGAGGATGACCATTTTTAAGAATATGATCTCCAAGTATAAGGAGTATCATACTAAGCAACCACCGATTGTTGACTTCCTTAGCCAGGATGGCGAATTTCAGTCGTTTCGTGATGGGCTCAAACAGAAGGACGATGAGCTGACGAAGAAGGATGAAGAGCTGAGGGAGCGGGACGATGAGCTTATGAGGGCCATCAGTAGGTGCAACGAGCTTGAGGTAGCGCTAAAGGCCAAAGAGGACGAGCTCGAGGTGAGTAAAGGGGTGATGGCTGAGAACACCGACCTTCAGGCGCAGGTGGCATCCTTAACGGCTGAATTCGGGCAGAGGGAGGCAAGATATATCGATTTGAGGGGTGAGTTGAGTGTCAAGGTCGAAGAATTGAGTCGGCCCGAGAAAGGCAGAATGGCCGATATGGCTGAAGTGGCGGCCCTAGAAGACGCCCTCCTTGTTTGCAGGTCAGAGTGGGTTAATAAGATGGAGACATCGGCGCTTAAGTTGGCAAGGTTGGAAGAATGGATCCAGGGTTTAGAGGCGGAGTTGTCTAGGTTAAACGAGCAAGTCGTTATCTTGAGGGCCGAGGAGACTCGACGGCAGTCACAGCCATCTGCATCTCATACTTCTGCCGATCCCGGTGTGTCGCAGGAGTTATATGAGATATGGGTCCATGTCGAGGCTCAACTTGACGTGTACAAATCTCTGAAGGCTACCGGGAAAGTTTTCGAAGTGGAGCTTGAGGTCGTCCATGTCAAGGCACGTGCAGCCCGTGAAGCTTGTGGTTACGACCCTCTTACGCCTAGCGGGGATGAGGATGCCGACGCCGCAGATAGGCTTGCCTCTGATCCTTGGTATGATGATGAATACACCGATGGGGATGATGTGGCGTGAAACTGTTGCACTTAGTTTTTTTTTTGCTTTGCTATTTTTGTGAAGGCGTCCTCGAGCCCTTTGTAAAAAGTATTGTAATCCGATAATTGAAATGGAACACTTCCCTTTTTGCTATGTATTTCTGGATTCCCGTTCTCTTTTCTTGTCCTTATTTTTTGCTATGTGGGGAAGCCTCTAATTTTTCGGTTGTTTGTATATGTTTGATATTGGTTGAGTCAAACATAGACTGACTTGAGGTCGAGTATCAATTAGCTCGGATGAGATCGAGGTTTGATGAGGTCGAAAATCAAATAATTCGAGCGAGGTCGAATGTAAAGTATTTCGAGCGAGGTCGAACGCAAGGTAATTCGAGCGAGGTCGGACGCAAGGTAATTCGAGCGGGTCGAACACAAGGTAATTCGAGCGAGGTCGAATGTAAAGCAATTCGAGCGAGGTCGAATGTAAAATGTAAAGTGACTTGGTGGAGTGCAAAGATGTTGCTTTATTTCATTCATTGGAGAATATTACATGTTTCTGTTTGTTCCATACATATATTGGAGAAGTTCCAGTGTACCTAGTCCCTTCATCGTTTGGCTTGGAGAGGTAGTGACAATTTTTGCAATTAAAAGGAGATGTTCCAATGATAGAAATGTAATGATATATCTAAAACTAAAAAATTTAAAAATGCTTTAATTAGATAAAGTCTTTTTATCTTTTTTAAACTCCGCCTTTTCACATATAATTAAATGAAAGAAGTACTTTAAATTAAAATTGCTTCGAAATATTTTGACCTATCAAAAAACTTAGAAATAAATGTTCCAAAATAAAAGCCAAGGGCAGAAATGGAAAGAGCCACTCACATAACGAATCATTTTTCTTACCTTCTACTAATATTCTAACCCGAGAAGGGACACTTTAGGGCAAAATTTACATTTATATGATGATCTAAATCTCGTTTACAACATTTATATGACATCATTTTAAGTTTGTTTATAAGAAAATCCTTTCTATACTCAAATACTATTTTGAATCATTCTATTTTTAATGAGCTGTTAATTACGATAAAAAATATATATATCTAAGATGAAAAAATTTAAAAATACTACTATACTATCAAAAGTGTTTCTATTTCTTTAATAGCATGTATTGCCAAGCTTGTTTTTGGCTAAAAATATTTTTTTCTAAAATTAAGATATTTGATATAGCTTATATAAGGAAAAAATGCCTTTGAGATGAAGTAAATTTAGAAATAATTTTTGAAAAGCAAAAAAAAAAAAAAAGATTTTCCCAAAAAAAAAAATCTTTTGAGAAAAATATATTTAAACATTTTTTTTTAAAAAAAAAAGCTAATTACTGCTAAGAAATATTATTCAAATTGATTAATCAAATACAAACTACTTTTTACTAATAATATTTTTTTGAAAAAGCATTTTTGAAAAATTTTCTTTTCAAAATTAGTTGATTTTAAAAGTTTGACCAAACATGTTATAAGATGCAGGAGGTGAGGCTGAGATGGTTCGGGCATGTTAAGATGAGAAGTATAGAAGCCTTAGTTAGAAGGTGCGAGCGGTTAGCCTTGGCATGCAGCAAGAAGGGTAGAGGTAGGCCTAAGAAGTCTTGGGAAGAGGTTATTAGGCGAGACGTGACACAGCTGGAGCTGACTGAGAACATGGCCTTAGACAGGAGGGTGTGGAGGTCAAAAATTAGGGTAGAAGGTTCGTAGGTAGTCGAGTGTTTCTCTTTTATCTTACTTAGTTCGCTAGCATTATGGTTAATATGATATTTTTTATTCATAGATGACTATTACTACCTAAAATTTGAGTGCATTCTTGAATTCAATCTTATTTCATCGTGCAATTACCTTTTCTTTTCGGTCGTTCTCTAGCCTAGGGTCTATCGAAAACAGTCTCTCTAATCTTACGGGAAAGGAGTAAGGATGCATACATCTTACCTTCTCCAAACCTCTAGGAAAATATTGGGTTTGCTGTTGTGGTGGTGACCAAACAAGTTATAAGTATGGCTTGCTGAGTTTAGTTTTTTAGTAATCCTCCGGTCCATAATAAGTGGCCAATTTATTTTTTTATTTTGGTCCAAAATAAGTGTCCATTTATATAATCAAGAAAATATTCAATTTGATTTTTCAAAATTACCCTTATGTACGTATCCATAAAATGTCATTTATTCCTCAGAAGAAAAGTAAGTGCTATTATAGCTATGCTGCAATATTTAATTAAAGATAATTTAATCACACTAACTATTTTTGCTTAGAATTTAGTATTTTCTTAATGGGCATGTCTAAAACAAACTGGTCACTAATTATGCCCAAAGCAAACGGGTCACTAGCTCTGGTTTTGCTAAGATGTGGATTTATAATTTTCATTTGTGATTAATAAAAGCCTTTAATTAAAAGAAAGAAGAAAAAGTGTTTCTATTTTTTCCATCTCGATATACTCACATAAAATAAGATAGGAAGAAATATTGTAATTAAAATTGCTGGAAATGACGGTTTCAAAAATGTCAAGGGCATAAATGGAAAGAGACCTTCCATATAACGAATAATTTTTTTACCTTCTACATTTTGCTAAGTAATATTCTAACCAGAGAAGGGGTACTTTGGGAAATATACAATAGATGAGCGAATTGGGGCAAAATTATAGAAACTAAAAACCTCTTCCATCTTTTCTTTTTCACCCTCATATTTTTTCTTTTCACTTTATACCCCCAAACATTTTCCTTTTTTTCCATATTCCCTCTCCTCAGTATTTCTAACCTAACCCTAAAAAAGAACCTACATAAAAAGTTCGGACTGTAACAAAGAATAATAGTTAGCAGCTTCATCTTCAAACTCCCATAATAAACCATCAGATATAGCAAACGGAAAATCACCACCATATGTTTCATTTTCTTCAGCAAACGTTAAATCTACACCGTTGGTTCCATCTCCACTGGGAATACCTAGTTCATCATCAGAAGCTTCTAGAAGGTGTCTAATAACACTACTTCTGTCATCTTCTACTTCATCTTCTTTAGAAGAAATATCCGACCCGACAGAAACCGGGTCGGCCTCAAACCCGTCATTTGGGAGAAGTTCTTGTTGAAGGGTGGCGAATAGGTCGGACCCAGAAACCGGGTCGGATTCAAACCCGTATTCTTCCTCTTCAAGAATGGAGAGGATATCATTATAAGATGATTTATGGCGCTTTGTATTATTACCTTCACATAAATTTTCTTGTATTTCTTGGGATTCTTCTTCTCTTGAACGTTTAATTGGTTGAGTCGACTCAGCCATTTTTTAAAAAAATGTAAAACTGAGAGACTTTGAAAAAGCAATGAAAATGGAGAAATTAAGAGAGAGAAAGGTGAAGGGATGAGGAGAGAGAAGGGGGTATGGAAGGGATTATATAGAGGGAAGGAAATAAGTGTAGTGACGGTCAAAATGGGTGAAATGAGAGAAAAGTGACCATATTTTAATAATATTTTACTTTGTTTTAATTATTCAAAGGTGATGAGATAGATATTCAGATTTCTGACAGATAGAAAATACTTTATTTTTATTTTTTGAGAAAAATAAAATATTGGCAGGACCAAGAAAAGTGGGGGCCAGCGGTAGACTATTGCAATATATAATCAACTGATTCAATTGAATTAAACTTTTTCTTAATACATTTTTTTGGCGTCCCGCGCTACACCCAACACAATTGAAATTTACATCATTTAAGACATACTATAAGAGGAGAGAAGTCAAGATTTAAAATTTATAATTTTGAAATTGTTATGAAACTTATAGTTCGTATTAGTTATTAAATTTTGTAATTAAATATTTATATAAATTTAATATTTAAGTAAATATAACTGGTTTCTGTCAAATCCGCACCTATTCGAAACCTAAAAGTGAAATCTCTAAAAATTTACCGGCATCTAATACTAATATTTTACTAAATTAATAAATACATATAATACACATAAACATTTATGTGAACATTTTTGCTTTTCAAATTTAAATTACATAAACTTTGACTAATATTTTAAAATATATTTTTCATAAACACATTAATATGAAGAAATATCACTTATAATATTTTTTATACTATGTTGTTATTCCTATTTGTTGGAATTATCTTTTCTTTTGCAGTCATTCTCTAGCTGAGGGTCTATCGGAAATAGTCTCTCTGTCCTTTCAGGGGTAGAGGTCTGCGTACATCTTATCCTCCACAGACCCCAGTTGTAGGAAATTACTGAATTTGTTGTAATTGTAATATTTTTTATACTATTTTCTAATATTTGATTTAACTATGATAAATTAATGTATTTTGCCGTAAACATTCTATGCAGGTAAATTACGATGACAATGAAAGGATATGGAGAGAGTTGGGTGTTTGTAAGGATGCCTAACAAAAGCAAAGAGTGATAGAAAAAGTTAAAAGAGTTGGCTTTTGTGAGCAATAACCTCACGAGTATTGCCTAGTGGCTATAGTTGTTGCCTGCTTCTTTTTTAGCATTAAAGAATTCGACAAATTGTTGAACCCAATTTGTCTTTTTCTCCTATTATATATTACTTCATCCGGTTTATTTTCAGCATGCCCATTAAAAAAATACTAAATTCTATATAAAAATATCTACTATGACTAAACTATCCCTAATTAAATATTTAATGTGAGGAGTAAGAAAACTTTGTAGGGATATGTACATAGAGATTATTTTGTAAAAAAATGAAATTAAATTCTTTCGTGATTACATAATTAGATACTTATTTTGAACCAAAATAAAAAAGTAAATTGATCACTTAGAGAATATCTCTTTAAAAATACATTTAGGTATTTTATAAATCACCTTTGATTAAAAGATTCCTACGGCACGTACGCGACACAAAGTACATCAAAGAGACAAGTACAGCGAGTTAAAAGGTTTTAAGGTGTCCATGGATTTAAAAATCGATTAAATCGATTATATTGTATCGTATCGCATCGATTTTTAGATTTTTTAATAAAATCATATATTTCTATATAAATTTATAACCGTATTAATAATTATGATAAGTTTTTTATTTTATAAAAATAAATCTGAAAAATACAGAACTGTATCGAATAAATTTACATGTGAAAAAATATATTTATATATTAAGTTTAAAAATAATAAAGTATTAAATTTTTCCTTGGGTTTTGGATTTATAAAAACGGTTACAAGCCAATAAGTTATTAAACTTAAAATCCTAACTCTCAATCATATTATGTTACTCCTACTCAAACTAAATTATTTTCGGCTTATTCTCTAGCAAGACAAAAAATATTCTAGCGATGATAGGAACAAACTACAATGTATTTAATATGTTTCCTTTTGTATGATTTAGATTTATTTTTTAAAATATTTAATCTTCTATAGACTTTATTCTTGAGTCCCTGATTGGTTATTATATTTTTACTCGTGTGATTTATATTTTCTATGTCTTTACTTGGTTTCTTTTACGTTGCTGTAGAATAGTTAATGGATCTACACTCTGTCCATCTTTCATCACCTTTTAAGAAATATTAATGTCTAGAAAGTTTTGCTAAGTCCTATAAAAGTATGTATGTTATTGTATTCTATTTTTACTAGTGACTTGTATATGATACTTAAAAAAATATCGAAAATTAACTGAATCGTACTAATACTTAAGAGAAATTGATATAATTGGGACGGTTTCGAAAAATCTTATTTTGATTATAGATAATAGAATAATTAAAAATTAGTATGATGCAAATTTTATAAAATAACTAACCGAATCTAACCATTGACACCTGTAGGTTTAATGAAGAGTTCATCTTCGTTTTGCTTTAAGTATTCTATTATAGAATATTTTCTCTTTTATTTGGTTATTAGCTTCCAATAAAACCTAAAATATCTCTTAAAAAAAAGAAGAAGAAAGAAATACTATGTCAAAATTATTATAATTCATTGAATACATAATTTAAAAAATAAATTTAACACTAAAAATCTAATTAAACTAATAAAATTAAAATAATGAATTCGCCTCTTTGCGACATGCATGACAATTGACTTAAACTCAGCATGCCAACTAAAAGTAAAGTAAAAAACTGTCGTTGGAAAAAGAAAGAAATAAATACAGAAAATAGACAATAATAGTTAATTTGGCCAAGCTGCAAAAATTAATTTATTTTGAGAAGTATTTTTTTAAAAAAATATTTTTCTTAAAAGTATTTTTGGTGAGAAACAGTTTGTGTTTGACTAATTAGTTTGAAAAATACTTTTAAGCAGCAATTAGTATTTTGGTCAAAATTTAAAAAACGGCTTCTAAGTATATTTTTCTCAAAAGTGCTTTTCAAAAAAGTGTTTTTGAATAGAAACTACTTTTTTCTGTTTCTGCTTCTCTTTTAAAACACTTTTTTCTTCTAAAAACTTAGTCAAACACCTCAATTTTTAATAAAAAGTGTTTTTGGCCAAAAATAAACTTCGAGCAAGCTATAAGACCGGTTAAAAAGCCAGTCCCCGACAGAAGATATGGAATCAATCAATACATAATCTTTGATTTTTATCTTTTGTGTTCTCGTGTTCCAAGGTAAATAAAAAAAGAAACATAAAGACTTCACCAATCTCCATATGTACAAAAGTACAAGAGCCTACGAGTCTTTTATTGCAGTAGCATCTTTCCTTTGCTATTATTCAATTAGAGGCAGCTCTCTCTACAATGTAATTCACGTTTAGGAAAATATCGTATCCTGGGCGGTCTAAGGGTAAGGCAGACGAAGTCATTACCTTAAGAAACCTCCAAAAATAAGGGTGGGCATTGGTCGGAATGTTATCGATTCGATATATCGATTATTGGTTTATAAATATGCTAAATTAATAATCGAACCGATAAGATATTAGTTATCGGTTATCGATCATTATCAATTCAGTTATCGGTTTACCCGATAAGGATAAAATATACCCAAAATTTTCATATTTTTATTGTAAAAATCATGATCATAATTCATAGTGTTAAGAGAAAGAAATTGAATTTCTGGTCTTAAGAAAAGAGGGATTAAATTTTAAACTTTAGAAAAGAAAAAAATTTCTTTGCATTTGAAAATCCCAATGAATGATCTCAATTTTCAAAGTTATAAGTTAGTAGGAGTAAGGAATAAGACATTCAACGATCTAATCTTACTAACTATCTCATTGCTGGCGGGCGAACATAACTCACAGGAAAATAATAAAATCTTAATCTTGTAAATACTAAAGAATCAGTGCGACAAAAGGAATAAATAGAAAAATTAAAAATCTAAACAATTAAATCGTTAAAGTTTAAAATTAAAAATCTTAACCAAGGAATTAAGATGAGAAATTCAGAAAGGTTTAAAACTTACTCTAAGGATTAAGGTCTGAAGATGAAGAGTAACTGTCGAGAGAATTGAGAGGATGAAGCAATAAGGTGGATTTATATACTTAGGGGTCGTTTGGTATGAGGTATAAGAAGGTATAGTGCTGGTATAAAAATTTAATACTACCTTAATACTTCGTTTGGTTAGCAAACTAGGTATAAGTTATTCCAGGATTAAAATTAACACCGGGATAACTTATACCTTATAGAGGGTGGGGTAATTAGCACCGGTATAACTTATACAATCTTCTTACAAATCATGCAATTGTCATATTTAATACAACATACCAAACAATGGATAAAACACAATCCCAACATAACTAATCTCAGCATAACTTATCCCGGCATAAGCCGTATTCAAACCAAACGACCCCTTAGTGGATAAAATTATAATTTTGTTAAAGCTTATTGAATTATCGGTTAAACCTTAATAAAATGAAATTTTTACCTCCTATAGCAAAGGTTAACACCTTATATATTTAAATACCATTTAAAAAAAATATATTCTATAGATACCTTTTAATGTTTATAGCAAAATATCTAATTTTGGTTACCTCCTACCTCTAAGCCACTAAATACGCTATTTAGTTACACTATTTTCTTTCTCTCTCTACTTTGATACATGTCATTCTCTTCCCCAATTTCCTGAAAACACGATGCTCAATCTCAAAATTCCTCTCACCCACATCACCTACCATTAGCCACAAACGGTGATTTTGCCTGGTTTACCACGAAGACTTCTCTAACTTTTCTCCTCAATTTTGTGCAACCCAAAATTTGGTCAATCCCTCTATGCTTCACGGGTCTTTCATCTGGAGAGGACTATATGTTGATGAAGGAGTTTTAGGTAGACAACAACAATATAGTTCTCATGCAATACAAATACGTGCGATGGACATTGTATAAGTTACATACCACTTACAAAAAGACATGTAGTGTTCATGGTTTTTGCTCGACTGCGGATTCGCTGGAAATTAGAGTTTGTTCTTAAACAAAGACGACGGAGTTTGGGGCTGAGCAA